ATAAATAAATAAATAAATAAGTAACTCTCGCGAACCTTCCAGAATGTCACGTTTAAGAGTCACGCAATACAATTTTTCGTGACACTTTTCTTTCTTTTGCTAGACCTTGAGTAGGCTTCATTTCGCTGGAAAAAGTTTTGGGAAAGCTATAGATTTTTTAAAAAGTTTAAGATTCTTTAGAGTAACCGTCCTTTTAAATGACCTTTTAGTTTCAAGATAATTGATATATTGTAACGCAGTAAAATAAACAACAAATTTTCGTCTTTATCTTATACAACTGTGGTGGTAATTTTCCAAATCTTTGTTTATGGTGACGTAGTTTATGCTCAAACTTGGGAGGTAATGACCCTGAAAAACTGTATCGAGCCACCTTAAGGGTTTTAGGATTAGATGAAAGGAAAGGTAGGTGTGTAGTGGAACAAGATTTTCATGGGAATTTTCGGGTCAACGTTACATGGTTTTTTGCTTTATCTTGATCAGTTAGCTGACAAAGTTGTTCTTGACTGTTAAAACTGATGATGTCACAAGCGGTAAAAGGGCGGTTACGCACGGTTCAGGGGCGAATGGGTTAATACATAAGCATGACTGAAATTTCCCTCAAAAATTAGTATAGGTAACAGCATGATTTGTAGTGATATTTGGCATAAATACCACGAGTGATATTTCGAAATTGTTATACGTATTATTTCACGAGCCGTTAGGCGAGTGAAATTTGAGACAATTTTGAAATATCACGAGTGGTATTTATGCCAAATATCACGTACAAATCATGCTATTTTTTGTTTATACTACTACCCGCCATAGTTTTGTAATTTTCACATGTAGGTAATTCAAATTAAGCTGAAATACCACTGCTGTAAGCCAATCAAATTGCAGAAATTTCTCATGTAGTAGTATAAAAAGATTTACCCTACCTCTTATACAAAGTGCACCAACTACAGAATGGATCACCAGGCCTGACACAGTCGACACAAGATGGAAAGGAACTGCATTCTTCAGTTGGTATCTTTGTCACCTTAAAGGGTGCAAAGAAAGTCAGTTTTAAAGCCTGTCATCTAGGCAAGCTGTAGCTAGCATGTACTAGCCCACAAGTCATTTCGACTAGCCCCCAAACCCTTTTTGATTACCAGGGTAGATTACAAATCCTTCTTCCTCAAAAAACAGCACTTGCCCATCGGGCAAGTTAAGAACAAAAATCACTAGCGCTGTAGCAAAATCCACAAGCCCCGGGCTATCGGACACAACTTTCTTTGCACGCTGCCTTTTATACGGCACAAAATAAGTGACATTACATATAACCAACTGATAAATTATAATCAGCAGTATTAGCAGTCTTTTACAAAGGGAAGTATTTTGAACTTGAATTGTGTTTGCTTTTAATAAGTGGCATTCAAAACCAGCCATTATAAACTAGCAATGGGTTACGGATCAGCCTAAATGGTCTATGAGGGCAGCTAGACTCCGCATAAAAGGGGTACATTTTTCAGGTTTCTGGTACATGAAAGGTCATAAAAGGGTAAGGATTTCACTAGTTGAAGTATATGAAAGGGTAGGGAAATCTGTCCTCTTGGTCTGTAAAAAGGCCCAAAAGAGCTAATTAACAGATACATTTTATGTCTGGTTGTAAAAAAGTTTAAAAACTGTAATTTATTCACATTTCAAAGAAGTTAAAAGGAAAGCAAAGTTCTAACCTAGGTATGTGAAAGAGGTCTATTTTTTAATAGAGTATACGAAAGGGGTACCTTTTCTGTCAGAAATACACGTAGCGTATACGTATAAAAGGGAAAGGGGTTCAACCTCTCTGTGGAGCCTCTCTGTATAAAACTTTGTTGAGTACCCCTCAGTGGTGGTCATCAGCAGTATATAACTACAAAAGAAATTATTTTGAACTTACTTTGTGTTTGCTCAGAACAACCAAGTACATTTTATCACTTGTGAGCTTCAACTGCCGAACTTCATAAGAGCTAATGTTAAACACAGAATATGGTTTCACCTTATTCTTGCCGTCTCCCACTGATACCTATAACACACAGTGCTGTGTAAAAATTATTGATTTAAAATATTGGTATTTTGCAAGAAATTCAGATTTTTCCTCCTTGGCTGAGTTATTCAAGGCTTCCAATTATTGCAGTCAACAACAATGCCAGGTTGACTACAAAAAGAGCATCTGTACACAATGTAACTATCCTTGGATTTGCACTAATAGTCTCTCACACAAATGAGCCCTGGAGTCAAAAACGGAGACATTTATTTATTTAGGTATTAGTTGCAGTCACACCAGGTCAAGCATACCATCCCCGCCCCCCGAACCGATTGCAGCATTGATGAATCGGTTATAAGAAAAATGAATCCATTAATCTTTGCCGTAACCAGAAGCAAGTTTAAATCTGTATTCCTGCATATGTAATGAGTAATGAAACTATCAACATAACTTCTCTGTGATTGGACATAAGGGGGTATCTTGCATGCTTGTATTTTGCAAGAAAAAGAAGATTCAAATACAGATTAATATGGACCACAAAACAGATCTTCAGTTGCACGTTCAAGTAGAGAGAAACTAGAATTGATTAAAGCATACAGAGCTACATACTTTATCTCAGCAAACAAACAGCAGTTGCACGAAATGACAGAAACTCGCTTGATTTAGGGCTTATAATCAGCGAAGTAAATTAATATACATGTACCTTGTGCAGCTGGCCTTGATTTGTACCAATAAACAACACTGTGTGACTGAAGTAAGGCATAGCAGCTACAGCAGCAGTAGATAGTATTCCCTGATCATATTCTACAATGGCATTTTTTGCTGCAGATAGTTTAATTGAACGATATTTCTCATACTTGAATGATATGCTTGAAACAGGACAGAAGTTAGGAGGGATTATTGGAGAACTTGAACCCTGTCAACAATAAAAGACAAAATGATTACTCATGATTGTGCTACATGATTGAGCGTACATGCAGTTGCAAGTAAATTACTCAAGTTAAACCAGACTTTAATTTCCCTGTTCAGAAGAAACAAACTCATGGTTAATGGGTGTATTAAATATTACCGTCGTAGCACAGTTCTTAACATCATCAACCCAGGGTAATCCATATTTTTCTGTTGAATATGAGCCATCTGCACATTTCCTCTGGTCAGCAGCCAGCTTTTCATTGATCTCTTTGACTGGATAAAAACAAACACCAGACTTTGAAGCAGAATCATCCCAGCCTCCATTAGTCTGGACAAATGTTACGACTAACACTTCATCTGAAGCTTGAATTCCAGAAGACTTAGCAAAAAATTTTCCAGGTTTTGTTAGGTAGGCCGATGTTCCTATATTAAAATTTGTTCCATTAGTTCCTTTGCACTCCAGTGGTAACTCTAAATATGAAATGTAATTCTTGTCTCGCTGGCATATACGAATTATGAAAGTACTGAAAACTTTTGGGTTCTTCTTTTGGTTGTAAGACTCAGTTGTCTCTTGTACAGAAACAAAGTAAGTAAAGCCACCCAATGAAAATCCATAAATATATTTCACTAAATAATTTAAGTCCGTAAATTGTAGAAACGAATGTCCATCAAGTGCTGAATTTGAAGAAACGGCAAAAACATTCGACCCGTCAATGTTCCGAGTAGATACAGCAGGCATTGGATCTATGAGAAAGACAAAAGACTTTGATCCATAAGTTTTTCCATCCCATGAAGTTGCAATATACAAAGCAAGTTTCCCATCCCAACTTGGACCAATTACAGCAACTGAGGGTAAATCAGAATTTGACACAACATATTGAATTTCATTATTATTTGAAATTTCCACTGACAGCGTTTCAAGACTTCTTCCTTGACACACTCCATGCTTAAAAGATCCACAAGTGATGAGCTTTTTATTTGCACTGTCTATCAGTAGAATCTTATTCCTATTGTCGGTCATTTCCTGAGCACAATATGGCTGTGATCCAAGACATTTGATGTAATCTGGCGAAGGCCCAGATGTGATTCTCTTTAGTTCTTTCAAGGTCGGTGAAACTTTCAGAATTACATTTTTGCCTCCGATGAAAAAGATGTTTGTTTCATTGTCAATATCAATGTTATAGAGTTCTTCACTTAGTTGTAACTCTGGAAAACTGCCAAAACTTGTACAGGACAAGGGCAAAAGAATAAGAAAGACAACTTTTTGTATGTGCATGATCATTCCATCAGCCTTGAGATACACGGAAGGACTTTTGTTGAGAGGACAACCTAATGGAAAACATCATAAAAATTATTCGTTTCTGAATCACCCCATTAACATCCTCAAATATACTGAAGAGTAATAATTATCTTTAATAGCAATAACATGAAAACACAAAGGAACAGTTACCAATCAGAAAAATGTAGTCTTCAGTGTAAGCCGTCTATTCGTCCCACCTCCAATGGGCAATTCTCTCGCCTGGCCGCCCATTAGAGGGTGGGGCGAAGAGATGGCTGCACTTCCAATTCCAAACTGTTGGCTGCTGGAAAAACAGAGCGGATAATTTTTTCCAGCCGCGGCTGACAATGATGCAAGGAGCTTCTGTGAATTTTCAAATTTTCATAGGCGACATGGTCTGATTAATAAATTGTGCACAAAAGTTTCTCTAGCCATTTCAGAAGAAATTTGGGTGGAACATTTCCCCCAATGATCATTCTCTTGTTCAATGACCAGTGTGATTTTTTCTCCTACAATCATCCCAGAGCAACATGTCCTCAGATCATAACCAAGTGTTGCATGAGCTACGTCAATGTCAACTGGACTTGCCGAAAGGCGACTGTTATAGGCTGTCATAAAACCTAGACTATACAGAAATATTGTACTGCGTCAGAACAATAAGACAACCGGAACAGACAGCGAACAGCTTATAAAAGAAAACAACCCACTAAACCCATCACATTACACACCCGATCAATAGACGATAATCTATAATTTATGGCTGACACATTTGACCTGATTGTCCAGCCACAGCTTTAATCTCTCGAGCAAAATAACTTGAATCACTGTTGAATCACTAGGAAAGCTAGTTTTACCACAAAATAAAAGAAAAGAGTCAGATTAGACCTACGCGGATGGTCCATTGAGGGATTTACAATATTTTCACTAAATACATTGTATCTTCTACCCAATTTGACCCCATGATGTCTATACCGTGTTCGAGGAGTATCACTTATATCCCTTTTTTTGATTCTTGTGTTGTTTTCTTTGATTTTCATATTTCGTCTTCGATTAAAAAGAAAAATACTTTTTGTTTTAGTGTTTTATTTTGATTTTTCAGCTAATCTTTGATTTTCAATCTTTGATTTTTTGGACTTGCGCAGTGCACCTCGTGGAGGTAGGACGTGTTTTTGTGAGCTCCACCAAATATGCTGTTCTAAACGCTTTAATAACGTACCTGTCATGGAAACCTACAAATAGATATAACCAGAAATGGGGAAGGACAAAGCGGACAAGAATCCGAGCAAAAGGCTGAGAGAAAATGGCTCGCAAACGGATGAAGATGATGAACATGTGGGGGTCGGTGGAGTAATGTCAGCACGCCTCGAGGAAATGAACACTAAACTAGATCAAGTTTTAACAGCGTGTGGTGAAATTGCACTACTAAAAGATGAAATACGCAAGCTGAGAGATGAAGTAAAGAATTTAAAACAATCTTTGCAATCTGCCGAGGAAGAAATTGAAAGTCTACAAGAAAGTCAGAAAGAAACTTCTGCACAAGTAAAAGAAAACAATGAAGACATTGACTTCTTGTTCGAGGACATTGGAGCGCTAAGACGCAGAAACATCAAGTTGGAAGCCTATACAAGACGTGAGAATGTAAGAATTTTCAATGTCGGGGAAGAAGAGGATGAAAATACTGAAGAGCTGGTAAGAAGTGTCTTCGTCGCTAATTTGAAAATTCCGGCGGATAAAGTCAACGATATCCGCTTTGAGCGAGTTCACCGAATCTCCACTAATAATTCTAGTCTAAGAGCTCCGTCCTATCCCAAACCAATTATTGCTCGTTTCAGTCATTATCAGGACAAAGAATATGTTCGCTCCTTCTATAAGAACTTAAAAGGAACCAACATCGGTTTCTCAGATGATTTCCCGAAAGAAATTGAAGAAATTCATAGAAAACTTTATCCAGTGCTTAAAAAGGCCAAGCAGGATAAGCAAAAAGCCTTCTTTAATTTTGATAAATTGATAATCAATGGCCAAATATACAGAGGAAAAGAAACTAAAGACCTTCCCTATTATTGTAAAATGGCAAAAAATTATTAATGTATTAATTCCATGATCGGTTTCAAACTGAACAGTGAATCTACGTCCACTAGATGTTAAGAATTTTGTTTAATATCAGTTTATATGTAAATGTACTATGTGTTCTGTTTTGTTTTATTATTTTCTCAGTGGGAGGAGAAAATGTCTTTTGTTTCACTCTTTTTGAATGCTTCGTTAAACATTGGAAAGTACTAATCCCAAACAATATATGCATTTTTATAAAACACAACTGAAACGGCAGATTTATTTAAATTAGTTTCTTTGAACGTAAGGGGCATAAGTAATTTTCATAAAAGAAGAACTATGTTCACCTGGTGCCGAAAAAGAAAAGCTGACGTAATATTCCTGCAAGAAACGCATTCAAAAGAGGATTCAGAAAAACAATGGGCAAATGAATGGGGTGGTAAAGCATTTTTCTCACATGGTAGTCCAAATTCATGTGGGGTTGCGATATTGATTAGGAATAATTTTAATTGTGTAATCCAAAAATCCATTGTTGATCCCCAGGGAAGATTTATTATTTTGAAGGCAGGCATTCAGGATAAGGTGTACATTTTAGTTAATATTTATGCGCCAAACAAAGATAAAGTCAGCGGCAAATTTTATAAAAACCTACATAGAGTGCTACAGACAGAAGACTTAGATTGTGAAGAAAATATAATCATTGGAGGGGATTTTAACTGTCCTCTTGACCCTAAGCTGGATAAGAAAGGTGGCGTTATGGTTCCTAGAAAAATGGTTATTGATAATATTGAATGTTTACAAAATGAATTGGACCTTGTCGACGTCTGGAGAATTAAAAATCCGCAATCTAGAAGTTACACTTGGAGCCAAAAATCTCCACCAATTTTCTGTCGTTTAGATTACTGGCTGATATCAAACAACTTACAGGATTTTGTAAATACAACCGATATCATTCCCGCTATAAAAACTGATCATGCAGCAATTGAGTTGAATCTAACCGACTCCAATCAAAACTCAAAGGGGCCCGGCTTCTGGAAAATGAACGTCTCTCTTCTCGAAGATCCGAATTATCTGGAAGAATTAAAACAAAATATTCCACTTTGGAAAACAACAGGAAGTGATAATTTATCAGACAAAAGGTGCATCTGGGATTGGCTTAAGTATAATATTCGGAAGCATGCTATTTTGTTCTCGAAAAAGAAAGCCAAAGAACGATCTGCTATGGAAAAAAACTTACAACAAGTATACGAGGAAGCGACTAAAAAATTCGAACAGGACCCTTCCGACTCTAACCTAAATACTCTAAATGAAGCAAAAGAAATTCTAGAAAGTTACTATGAGGAAAAAACAAGGGGTGTAATTATTCGCGCAAGGGCACGATGGCACGAGCATGGCGAGAGAAGCACAAAATATTTTCTAAATTTAGAAAAGCGTAATCACGTCAAAAAACATATAAGAAAACTGCTAATAAGTGGTTCCATTACATCTGATCCTTTTGGGATACTAAACGAACAAAAACGCTTTTACCATAGCTTGTACAAATCAAACGTAACAGATGAGGATAGGGAAAATGGAAACGAATTTTTAAATAATTTGAATATACCAAGATTATCAGAAGAACAAAAACAATCTTGTGAGGGAGAAAATTTCTCGCACTTGATTTCTTAAATGGAGTTTTTGATTTTCAAAATGAGATAGATATGGATCTTACCCATGTGAAAGCTTCAGTAAGGAGTGGTCAGCAATACTCAAGGCCAGGACACTCACACAGACATATATCATGGCCGAGAGAGACGGAGGGGGTCAGAGCAAGTCGTATAGACTGTTAAGCTAATAGAAAAGTATTTATTCCAACAGAGGAACTACAGGACATATCGTATTTCAGTCCAAAAGGCTCACTAATCTCAAAAAAAACAACACACCTGAGGGGTGCACTCAAGGAAAGTTTGGGTAAAGTTTTGCTGCCAAGGCCTTCAAACCCTGCTTAGGACCCTGACTCGTTTCGTTTTGCATACAGAACTAAGTAATTTTCAAACCAACATTGTGGAATTGGGTTTTTTGGTAAAAAAAATCGTTGGTAGCACAAATATAGACTGCTTATTTCGTTTCAAGGAACTTCCGGATCCTTCGCAACAACAGCACAACCAGCAAAATTTTCAAAAAAAACCCCTCTGAAGGCTTTCAGGCATGCCAAGAATCTGAAGGATCTGTTAGTCAGAAGCAGCCTACAGCTGTACCTCGAAGCCTTCCGAAACAACCAACAGCAACTTTCCCATTTAACTGGACCATTTGCCGCACATGTCCCCATGTTAATTCATCTACCACAATAATACAACACTGAAAGGGCATGTTAACATCAGGGGACATTTTTCCTGCATCACAGACAACGTAATTTATTGTTTGACGTGCATCAAATGTTCATCGACAGTCTACATTGGAGAGACTGGACGCAGGTTGGCTGACCGTTTCAGAGAACACCGCAGACATGTCATCAACGGGAGAAATGACCTGTACCTGCTCACTTCAACCAGGCCAATCACACACTGGAGGGCATCAAAGTTGCAGTATTGAAGACAGGCCTGGCCAACCATGAATACCATAAGAAGCAGTACATGCGTTTGATTTTCAGACATGTCAGACATGGAACTGTGACTCCGAGTGGCCTTAACCACGACTTTAGTTTCACCTGAATTACTCACTTTTTTTCCTATTCGCGTGCCTGTGCGCGTTGCTATCTCAAGCACGCGCGCTAGTACGTAATCGGGCACGTAAGCTAATTTAACATAACGGTCTATAGTTTTATACCCTGAAGAAGGCAGCATTGCCGAGATGTCTGTTTAAGATCTTATAACAGCGTTGATTTTAAAATTTTCAAATGGATGTTTCAAATTCAGCCGAGTGGCTCTGGGGATGAGAGTGCAAAGTGTACAGAACATTCTCGTCCCCAG